GCGTAACTTGGCCAATAGTTTTGGGGGGGTGAAAAGGGTTTCTGCCCTGCAAAACTGAGTGGTGCCCTGCAGACCTCGTAGCAACGGTTTGTCTATAGGTTACTATTGAAAGCTCTACTAGTGTACACTGGTCTTTACCAAGGACAAACTTCTAAGCAAAAAAAACAAACTTGAAACTTCATTGCCTATGAAATTTCTATTTCTCTACGTGAGCGTAAATTGTTTTTTATATTCACTTCATTTAATGTTGGTTTGCAAAATTAAGCTAATAAACAGCTAATTGGGGGGATGGGGGGGGGTGGGTAATGATGTAGACAGCGGAACGAAATTTAACCCAGTGGGGCTAAGAGTCGAGTTTAGTGAGGTAGGAGGACCCACCATGGTTGGGTCCGACGTGAAAAATTTTTTGAAATTATACCTTGTAAAAAGGGCTAAAAAGCATCTTTCAGACAAAAATTTAGCAAAATACTATTGTGCTAAAAGAATTGATTGTTTATTGAAAATATTATTGTTAATTGGGAAAAAACGGGAGGGGGATGTCATGCTAAAACTCTAGTGCTAGACGTTGGGGAAGGAAAGAAACGGCAACCTTTCGTTTCAGATTGCACGTAGTTGTGAATGACAGAGGAAGATGTTGTTTTGATTGGGAGAATTTTTTTTCCTGAACAGAAATGTGCAGTTTCTTGTATCAAGAAGGCCATGTTTACACATCCAAAATTAAAACATTGTAATGATACAGAAAATGATTTACTGAATTAATGCAAATAAAAGAAAAATAATAAAAATATACGTGAAAAAGTTAGCAATTAGATGAAACAAAATTGGTATCTTAACGATTTATTATGTTTTTTAGTTCATGCACTGTTAAAAAGTAATAGAAAAAATGATAAAAAATTCCTATCTTGACCAAAGTGAGGGACTTCAGCCCCTTATTCCCCCCCCCAGTGACGCCGTGCTTGTCATGAAAATAATTTACAACTTAAATTAATTTGCATGACTCAACCTTGCCCTCATAAACATATGCATCAATCATTGCATCCATTGGCTATGACTTTCGGTAAGAAATTCTTTCGCTTTGCAAATAACGAGCTTTTCCTTACATACCTGTTCCGTTCTCTAAAATGCAATGTCAGGAAGGGAGGTTCATAACAAATACGATATTTCCATTTCAAAATTCCTAAACGGCTCTTTACGAACTTCAGAGGTGGCATTTCTGCGTGGCAATAAAGCTCTTCTTGGTGCCCTGCGAAATCTTCGATTGCCCTGCGAAATCGACTATTTTTTGGATTGGGGGGGGGTGTCACACCCCCCCCACACCCCCCCGGTAGTTTCGCCCCTGGGCATGCTGTACTGTTTATTCATATATAATTTCATATAGAGTGTTTCATATGTATAATTGCACAAACTCTTTGTTGCTTCGCAAACAAAAAACGGTTGCTAAATCTTTGGTCCGATAGCTCCTTCCTAATTGAATTTTACCTCGCGAAGCCTAAGTTTCTACCTGAGAAATTGTTGAACGGCAGAGTTGGGGGGGGGGGGGGGGAGGTGTGACACCCCCTCACAGAGTTATAGCCCAGTATTTTTGCCTTACCGTCATTTTTAAAATCAAATGCTTTTCCAAGAGTAGGAGTCTATCTATCAACTTTGTAGACATGATGTCGACATAACGCGATTACAAAATTTGTTAGGATATCCAAATTTATAAAGAGATTTTTACATGATATAAATTTTATTAGAAGGGGTGAGTAAATATCTCAAGAAGTGAGAGGCGAGAAACCTGTTGTCCACGGTACTCGAATGCCGAAAAAACAATCAAACGTATTTTCATTTCTCAAAATGTGTTTGAGAGCCCAGGATTAGAATGATCACCCAGTCCAAATAAGTGCGAATCCAACAGCCTTAAATCTAAATAAGGGCCCAGGGTGATCTATCACCAGTTCAAAGGGAAAGAGAAAGCCATGATAGAACACGACCCTAACATTAAATATTTAAGCGTTTTGAGAAATTTATCTATTAGGTCAAGGAAATAAAGATAGCCTTACTTGACTGCAACGAAATTTCTTTTGTAATTAGCATAGATATTTAAAAATTAAAAATTAATTTTATTCATTTAATTGCAAATTTTGTATGGCTGCGAAATTTTCTGTCGCTATCAAAGCTAAATTTACACTGGCAGAAATTTTTATGCAAATTCGCTGCAAAAAATGCAAAAGAATATAGCGACTATTCGAAGAGTGCTGTGATAAGAAAGCTAAAAATGTTAAAGTTAATTTCATTGAAACAGCGAGCAAAATAGTAAAAAACGATACTGTGGTAGAAAAATTTATTCCAGACGTCTTCAAAAGGGGGAGTTTTTTCTGTCGGTAAGAGATTCACGTGTACATGACCAGGAATACGTCTTCAAATACTTTCGTATATCGCCATATAAGCTTGCACAAACATACGAGATAATGTTAGTGCATCTGCATCGAACAGATCTTTAGTTTTTTATGACTGAAACTGCTGCTGTTGAGCAGCCTCATAAGTAGCCAACTTTCAGCGTTTTGAAGAAATTCTTGCCGTTCGTTTATTTCAGACATATAACATAGAACGATAGAAACTTCAAGCCAGTTTTCGTCAATTTGAAATTCAAATGTTTGAATGATTTTTTTACTGAATGGTAAACTGATCTGAATCTACTTAAATTGAGTGTGCACGAGGAACAGGAAAGGAGCATTAACCAACCTATTTCAAAGACGCTGTGTAGGTGAGAGTGTTTTAATAAAATAATGCGGAAAGACGTAGGCCACCAGGAACCAGAACAGTTTTTTGTTTTCAAATGTAAGCTGTTTTCAAATTATGTTTTGATTGGTTTATTTTGCAGCTCGAAATGTTTTTTCGAAGTGAATTTTCCGATGCAAATTTGCCAAAAATTTTCTAATCTCTACTTCTTTCTAATTTAAGCTCTAATCTCTACATATTTCTGCGCATTTACATCGATGAATTCGCTTCGCACGAAAAAAATTCGTCTCGTGTAAATCAGGCTATCGCAGCACAAGCCTTCCGATCACGATCAGTTGTTTTCCCCACATACTTCGTGTTAATTTAGATATCGATTCCAGTATATAATTATGTGATTTGTAAGTTTGGTTAATTCAGACATTGTTTTAATTCAATGGTTTATAATAAAACTTTCCTTTTCTTACATTTTCGTAATCCTGGTAAACTACTTTGATCTATGATCTTCATACCGGAGAACAAACACGATCTACTGAATATTCCTGGCGTTTGACCTTGAATGATGTCAAAGTGCAATCTATTGAACTTTGCCTTATGGCTCTTATTCGTGGTGATTTGTGCAAAACGCCTTGCTTTGTATTTTTTCTTGTCTTTTCGAAAGCTCCACATGCACGTCCCGTCAGGAGCAAGCATCAGAAGTCAGTTCCTTATTTCGAAAAACCCTAAATAGTTATGAAACATTAAGGTTTCATGGTTGCCGCATAAATGAGAATAACTAAATATCAACGATCTTTACCTTTTCGAATTTATCTCCTCCATTCATGCAAATGCAGTTTATGTAAGTAATCTCCTACTCTATAAGTCTATACTCTTCCCATTCAAAATTCAATTTGCTATGGGAATGCCCACTGTGCAATGAACAATAAAAAGGCAAATAACAACCTCAACAACAATCGACAAGTATTATTGCTAACAGAGAAACAAAGGAAGCAAAGACCAAAGGATGCACCAGCTGCAAACGTGGAGAGCGATGACGGTTCATGGAGACCTAAGTACTAGCGCGATCCAGGGGAATCCACCATGCCTGAGTCACTGATCTCAAAAAAAGATCAGTGGCCTGAGTCGTCTTCGCTTTAGCTTGTGTCCCAGACCCCGAACTTGAAGTTAGGGGTCTTTAGCACAGGCTACTTCGGTTGAGCTGTCCTGGTTCAAAAAGAATCATTCGGTTCGGCTTACCTGAAGGAAAAGAGGTCTTATTTAGGGGCGCGTAAAGCAAAGGCTTCAATTAGAGTTTCGGGAGGGGGGGGTCCCGAGGGGCGATTCACTCTTGCAAATAGCGTACGATATTTTGCTTAGAACAAAAGGATTTCTGGGGATTTTCGGATAAAACAATAGGATTTTCATAAATGGATTTACCCCTCGGGGGGTTCTTCCTATTCAGGGGCGTCAATTTACACTTGTAGTAATTTCAGCGGTCTAAGGACTTATTCCCAGAATCAAACGAAAGAACAACGAAAAATTTCTTAGAACAGCAAGATATATTATATCCTCAAAATACTTTGACAAAAAATCGTATTCTTCAAACTAAAAAAAACGAACTGAACTAATTGTGTTAGAATCTAAATACATAGTCGTGCAATATAATGGTAAGACTAGGACTCAAGAGACAAGTAAATGATACTGTAAACAATACGTTTGTGTGTATATTTTTTGTACTGTAAACAATACGTTTACATTTTTACAGTACAAAAAGGCCCTTCCATCCATTCAAAAGGATTGCGTTCCTACCACACAAAAGAATTCCGTTATATGAATTGACGCGCCAGCGTGATTCTGGCTACGTAGGACTCACTACCCAAAGATTGGAGCATAGAATAAAACAGCATGTTCCATCTAGTATTAGAAACAAAATTCATCCCCAAAAAGAACAGCCACCTCGGTCTTGCAGATCTAAAAGAACAACTAAAACCTGCGATTCTGCTATCGGGCAGCATTTACTGGAACACCCAGATTGTGTAAAAAACTATAACGACGACATGTTTCAGATTATTGCTAAAGCCCGATCGTCGTCCATCTAGTAGTTTTGAAATCTATCCACATAAGCACGAAAAAACCGCTTTTGTGTAGACAAATTTTTTCACATTAGGACTCCATTGGTAACATTCTCTAAAGACAAGCGGCATTGATTGGGCAACCTCAACAGTTATGTGCTCGTGTTTCTGATTGGCCTATTTCGATCCACAACTGGGTATATATATATTTCCTAGCATAGAGTTTTCGATCTATGTTGTGACAATTTAAACTCTGAAGAGAAGCTTTAGTTTACTCAAATGTTTGCTTTTTTCAAAGCCATTAGCAAGATTGGTCTCAACAACCCCCTTTAATGCTCTGGTCACAACCAATGAGGTGTAACAACGAAGTTCTTCGACATCGAATTGCTGAGCGGCATCGAGCAGCATATTCAAACTTACTTTTCTCCCAAAAAATTTAACTATATCATGTTGTTTTTGAGATTCTAGCGACTTGTTCACTGCGAAACATGCAACAGGTTATGGGTTTCATTTTTAAATGACTTGCTGGGCCTCACTTGCTTCCTTTTGTGACATTCAAAGCTTTTTGACCCTCCTTGCCACAGTTGTAACATTTGCCTTTGAAAGGGCTGCTGATGCCCTTCTCCAAGTGTAATGCTGAGTCTCGATTTATTTTAGTCGTTGCGGTTGCTTTGAAGGCCTGTTTTTTCTGCTCTTCATTGATAAGGGCTTGCTGGACGAAGGCCAGTGATAGTTCATCTCCTTTAGCTTCCAGAGCTGTAACGAGTGTTGTGTAGCTTGGTGGAAGGCTTATGAGCAATGCCACGACTTGCTCTTCTTCAGCTACTGTAGACCCGAGTGCATGGAGTTTATCAGCAATTTCCTTCATACGTTTCAAATGATCTTGGACCGATTGCCCTTCAAGCATTTTTGAAGTAAAATATTGTCTCTTGAGAAACAGCTTGTTGGCTATCGTATCCCTCTCGAAATAGGCTTTGAGAGTATCCCACAGGTCCTTCGGTGTTTCGCATGATGTTACCAAGTAGATAAGATTCGACTGAATTCCCATTACCAACGTCGCCATTGCGTTTTGCTCGGCCTTTTCGTATGTAGCTCTAGATGCTGTATTATCGTCAGGTAATGAAATCGTTCCATCTACGTGATCCCACACATCTTTCGCCATCAACAAATGTTTCATTTGAAACTTCCATGTAGGCCAGTTCGACCTATCTAATTTTTCGATTTCGTATTTATCTCCAATTCCAGCCATGCTCGATCAAAGTTTCCTTTATACCTTTATCGACGAGATAAATGGAAATCCAGAACATTAAACTTTATTACGCAGTGGTTTGGTTCTGGGCCCATAACCAGCAAAGGAAGATAAACGACAAACAGAGCCCACGGAAAGGGACATGGATGCAGAAGAAAGCCATCCTCGACGATCTCAAAGTTCCACAAAAGGGGTACCACCACCTCGATTTAGCTTGGATGAGTATGCTGACGTCACAGAAGCAAGACATGTTGTATTCGCAGCAATCATCGAAGAACCAGCTACCATCCAAAAAGCCTTCAATAGTGAATATTCCGCACAGTGGAAAGAAGCAACGGATTCAGAGTATCAGTCACTCACAGAGAACCAAACGTGGGAGTTAGTGAAGCCACCAAAAGACCGAAAGGCTATCGGGTGCAAGTGGGTCTTCAAAGTAAAGTATGACGAAAATGGACAAGTGGAACATTTCAAAAGTCGTTTAGTAGCAAAAGGGTATTCTCAGAAGTACGGCGTCGATTTTGATGAAACTTTTTCTCCTGTCGTACGGTTCAGTTCTATTCGAACCTTATTGGCTTTTGCAGTTCAAAACCGAATGCTGATTCATCAAATGGATGTAACTACGGCATTTCTGAACGGAGATTTAACGGAAGAAATCTATATGGAGCAACCAGAGGGTTACGTGATACGTGGAAAGGAGAATCTGGTTTGCAGGCTCAAAAAATCCCTCTATGGACTCAAGCAGTCACCACGTTCCTGGAATCGAAAATTTAGAAACGCGCTCGAATCACTAAATTTCAGACAAGGTCAAGCAGATCCGTGTATCTTCGTGAAAAGATCTCTTGAAAGAAACAATTTGACAATTATTGCTGTTTACGTAGATGATTTAATCATCATATCCACTACTCAAGATGAAATGAAACAAATGAAAGTAAACCTGAGAAAGAATTTCAAGATGAAAGATTTGGGCAGCCTTCATTTCTGCCTTGGAGTCAGCGTTGAGCAAAGACTGCAGGAAAGGAGGAAGATGATGACTCAGACTCTCAACTCTTTCTAGCTGAAAATGAACAAACAGAAAATGAGACAAACAGACAATGGATTCTGGATTCGGGTACCTCGCAGCATATGACCTCAAACAAACTGCTTTTAATTAACTACAGAGAGTTCAACCAGCCTGAATTAGTCAAACTGGGTGACGGACATACAGTGGAAGCCCGTGGATCAGGACGAGCTCAAATAACCATGGAAACAAGCCACAACAAGCAGCTGACAATTGAAATGGATAATGTACTCTATGTTCCGAAACTAGCTTGCAACCTGTTCAGTGTGCGAGCTGTGACACAGAAGGGACTCATTGTTTAGTTCGGACATACTTGTTGCTGGATAAAAGACTCGGACGGTAAGGCTGTAGGCAAAGGAAGACTCGTTAAGCGAATGTACGTTCTGAGCTGTGAAACAGATATAACAGCAGCGTATCACCAATCTGAAAGGATGGAAAATAGCAACCATAGCACGATGGATATTTGGCATCAACGGCTAGGACATATAAATAGAAAACAGCTATTAGAATCAGTCAAGAAAAAGCTCATCAAAGGAGTTGCCATCCAATGAAAGGACGAACTGAACTTTTGCACAGGGTGTGCGGAAAGTAAGATGAGCAGAAAACCTTTCAAGTCAACAGAAGGGATCAAGACTTCTAGAAAATTACAGATAGTTCACAGCGACGTATGTGGACCAATGTCAATACAGAGCTTTTCGGGAAAGCGTTATTTTGTCACATTCATTGATGACTACTCGAGATGTGTCAAAGTCTACTTCATTAGAAAGAAGTCTGAGGTACTAAAGAGGTTTAAAGAATTTGAAGCCTCTGCAACCAATGAAGCTGCATGTGAAATTGGAACCTTGCGTACAGATAATGGCGGAGAGTATGTATCAAATGACTTTGAAAATCTTCTGAAAAGGAAAGGTATCAAACACGAAACTTCTGTTCCTCACTCTCCACAACAGAATGGAGTGGCTGAGCGCATGAACCGGACTCAGCAAGACCTTCTGGGCAGAAGCAGTCAACACTGCAGCCTACATAAGGAATCGTGTTATAACCAGCGCATCAGGTCAAACACCGTATGAAAAATGGTATGGAAAACCCCCTGATGTCTCCCACTTTCGTGTGTTCGGCTGCGTAGCTTATGCTCATATTCCAGAGGCTGAGCGAAGAAAGTTGGACAAGAAAGCCAACAGACTTCGATTCTTGGGCTACAGTGCAAATCAGAAAGGATACCGACTCTTTGATATGCAGAGCAAGAGAATAGTGATCAGAAGAGACGTTAACTTCAATGAAAGACATAATCTCAAAACCAACATATCATAACGCAACGACCGTTCGGAAATATTCATGATTCTTCCCTCATGATCACAAAACTCTGTGATAATTATGAAAAAAATCCAATCCAATCCTCATACGCGATTTGACTCTCGGTTACACAGACCCTCTACTTTTAAGTTTGGGGTTTAGACCACGGCTATCCTGATTAGGGTAGCAAACCAATAGGTATAATGTACAGAAAGTAAGTTAGAAAGTAAGGGCCAAGGGCAAATTGAAAACCAATAAC